ATCTATCTATCTATCTATCTATCTATCTATCTATCTATCTATCTATCTATCTATCTATCTCTATATCTATAAGTATATATGTATCTCTCTGTATTTATATGTATATATGCATATACATAAATATACATGTATGTATGTGTGTATATATATAGATATATATAGAGAGAGAACTTAATATGTGCTACACACTGTGCTAAACATTTTATAAATGTCTCATTCAATTCTCACAAGAATCCTGTGAAGTAGGTGGTATTATCCCCATTTTACAGCTGATGAAACTGAGGCAAATAGAAGTTAAATGACTTGCCCAGGGTCACACAGGTATTAAGTGTCTAAGGCTGGATTTGAACTTAGAGATTCCTGACTCCATGCCATGACATCACATAGCGGCCAAATCAAGCATACTTTATAGCTATAAGTGGATCTTTCAATATAAGGGCATTCTTTAAGAGAATTTATTTAAAAAAAATTCTGTGAAATAAATGATCAATCTTGAATTTATGTTCTTGTGAAGACTGATTTTTCATATATTGAAGTCTCTTAGGGAGAGGCATACCGTTACATATAGGACTTTATTTTTCAGGTTTGCATTGGCCTTCTCTGTCATAAGTAGGACAATGATAATCTCTAGACATCCTAATTCATTCTAAGAAATATGCTTGGTGGTATTGAACTGGAATGGTGAAATATTTTGGTCTCATTCAGAGCCATAATTAGCAACATCTGGGCAAACATTGCCTAGGGCAAGCAGTAACTAGCAGGGAAAGCACCCTCAAATCAGCTTTACTACTCATGATGTGAAAATGATACAAGAAGTAATTAAGATAAATTGAATCAAGTGGGAAGAAGAATTAGTTACTATAAAGGCTTAGGGGATAGAATCTCAGCGTCAGAAAGGATCTCAGAGGCCCTTTAGTCCAACCCAAAGGGTCTGGGGTCCCATGCTCTTTTGACTCCATCAGAGAAGGCTTGGTGATCATCTCTCCAATACAGTGAGGTAGGCAAAGTAACATGGGAATTTCTGTCCTCATGGGGGAGGAGGTATGGATGCTTATTCAGGGAAGGTGGGAGAGAAACTGGTCTTTACAGAAGGAAAATCTGAGGATGGAGTGTGGTACAGTAGAAAGAATCAGAGGACCTGAGTTCAAATCCAGACCCTGGTGTTTATTGCCTGTGTGATTTTGGAGGAATCGTTACACCTCTCTGGGCTTTGGTGGCTCTATAGGTAAAATGAGAAATTTGGACCAAAAGGTCTCTGAGGCCCATTTTAGCTCAAGACCTACACAGGTATACACTTTATAAATATTCACAAAATAAATTCAAGGTAACAAAACAACAACAATAAGAAAGAGGAAACCTGGGGTTGCAGAGAGGGTAAAGTAAGGTTGGGTTGATTATTTTTTTATGGGAGAAAAGGAAGAAGAAAAGGAGATTATTTAAAGTTTTCTGTCCTACCACCTTGAAGCAAAATCCTTCTTTCCCTTCTTTTTGGTTCTAGACCATAATCTCAAGCTAGTTGTTGTTGTTGTCCAGTTGTGTCCAACTCTTTGTGACCCCGTGGACCACAGCACACCAATATTGTCCATGGGATTTTCTTAGCAAAGATACTAGAGCAGTTTGCCATTTTCTTCTATGGTAGATTGAGGCAAACAAAGAATAAATGACTTGCCCAGAGTGAGCTGGTAAGTGTCTGAGGTCAGATTTGAACTCGGGTCTTCCTGATTCTAGGCCCAGCACTCTCTCCACTGAGCCACCTAGTTGCCTCCCAAGCTACTTACAACTTTGGTTTTATTCAGTTTTCCAGTCATCCTGTGGCCTGGATTTCCAGTCAAGGTTTGAGGACCTTCTCCTCCCATGTTTACCTCATGTCAATAATCATCCCATCCGTGCGCACGATCTTCTTCCAGACGTGCTCTACCAGGAGATCAGAGACTTGGGTGAGCAGCTCACAGTCTCCAAACATGTCAAACCTCAGGTAGCCGATGTTGCCCTCAAACACATTGGTATGGAAGGAAAACTTGATCAGATCTTCAAAGGCTTCAGGAGAAGGAAGCTGACAGAATTCAAAATAAGACTGGGAAAGTCGTAGAATTCATTCATTCAACAAATACGTTTGTCAACATTTATCTTTAGTAGCTCACCACAGCATGGCAAATTGGAGAGAAGACCAGTCTAGGAATTAGGAAAATCTGAGTTCAAGTCCTTTCTCTGACATAGGCTATGTGACCCTGGGTCACAACTTACCCTTTCAATGTCCCAGACAACTCTCTTACATGAGCTGTTAGTCTATATCTGTGTAGGGAATTTCCCCACTGGGAGTTCCTTGCATGACTGAAGTCATAGGTTCATCCCCTACCCCCATGTCCCCTCAGATGACATCATAGTGCTACTCTTAAGTTTTTTGGGGGTGTGTTAATGTAAGGATAACTAAGATGTAGTATCGGCCCTTATGGAGCTTAGAATCTAGGAGCTGAGTAAATTTCACAAATTTCTAAGGAAAATGACATTTCTCAATCAAGGTCCAAATATCACCTTGATGTGATTGGAAACCTTAAGTATGAGTTGCAAATCAAAAACTCAGAGTGGGAAGTTCACATTCATGGTACCAGAATTAACTGGTGTAGTAAGCAGAGAGCTGACCTCAACACTAGGAAGATTTGAATTAAAAAGCCATACTGGATGTGTGACCCTGGGAAAATAGCTTAACCTCTCTGTGCTATAGACAACTTTCTAAGATTTTAAGTTGCTGAGAAAATGCTGACCTGCATCCAATACAGGTGAGTTTCCCTACTTGGGGGTTTAGTCCATACCATTGAAAACCAGATCCAGGCCCTGTCCCTTTGTTTCTGGGACACACCTGATTTGAACATATTCAAGGAATGTTATTAACACTGAAAAATAGTCTTTGAAACATGTTTGTCATATGAGTTTCAATATCTAGATGAGAAATGCAAAGAGCCCCCAGATTGGATACCCCACACAAACTGCAGTGTTTCCTAAACAAGAAAAGCAAAGTGGATTTGTAGTAAGGTTTTTTTTTAAGATGCTATCAACATGCTTTATTCTACTGTCAATCTTATAGTCTCGGATCCTATAGGCTACTGATGTCCCCCTTTAAAAAGTTAACTAATTTCCTATCAGTGGTGGGGATGGGGGAGGTATTCATTTGTAAAAAAATATTTTTAAGCTCTGTTCATCTCATCCCATGTTATTAAAGCCCTCACCTTCTCATTTCTGGCTTTCATTCCTCACCCTCCAACCAGTTCTCAAATGTCGTTGATAAAATTATATCTATCTGTTCCTGCCGTCCATGACTTAATGAATCCATCAGGCTCAGGGAATCAGATAGTGATAAATTAATATTAACTTTAGCTTTGTAGCTTCTTTTCAGCCTGAATTGAAAGGACTCATTGAACTGTGTGCTGTCTCATTTTCTTTCTGTAGTTTGTGGATCACGAGGCTAGTTAGAGATCTGGCTTCTGGTCCTCACTTTGCCATTTGTAATTTCTCCATCTGTGAAATGGGTATCAGTTTTGCCTTATCTCAAAGAGTTGTAATGAGCAAACAAAATGAGATGGAATGTACTTTAAAACCTATAAGTAAAAGGAAGGTGTTACTGCTGTTATTACTATTAATACTAATGATGATAACAAGAGGCAGCGTGATGTAATGAAAAGAGAGCTAACGTCAAGGCTAGGAAGATTTGAGTGCAAGTCCGGGGCCACTTCCTGCTTCCTTTTTCAACCTTCTCCTCATCCTCTAGCTGACCTTTTAAGGTAGGGTATGGGACTCAAAATTCTATTCTTGGCCCTTTCTTCTTTCCTCTCTAGGATCTTTACCTTGACACCCTCGTTTATTCCCATAGCTGTAACTGTTGCTCCCAACTCCAATATCTGCCTCTCTAATCCTGATCTCTCTTGCCAGCACCTCCAACTTAATATAAGACATTTCCATCTGTTTGGCTCAATGGCACCTCAGATTCAACAAGTCCCAAGTGCAACTTACAGTCTTTCCCCAAACCTTGATTTTACTTTTCCCACCACTGGCACCACCAATCACAGTGTCTCCTATGCCCCCACAATTTGGTGTTTTCTTTCATTCTTCCCTCTCCTTCATTTCTTTTAGTCAATCAATTACCAAGTCTTATCAATTGAAGCTCTGAAGCTAACCCTTCCTTGAGAGAAGCCTTAGCACAGTGCACAGAAGGACAACCTCAGAGTCAAGAAGACCTGGGTCCTGGTGTTGTCTGTCACACATACCAGCTGTGTGACCACAGAGAAGTCACTTATTCTTTTGGTACCCCCAAATGGCTCTCTGAGGCTATAAGTTGCAGACAAATTCCTTATCTGCATATGTGGAGGGTATTTCCATACTTGGGAGTTCTGTACAAAAATGAAATCAGAGGCCTAGTTCCCTCCCCCAAATATTGTTTTCCAGTAAATAATTTTTTAAAAAAATTGCAAGGTTCATGTGGGCAGAAATGGTTATGGGACTAATGTTTAAACCTACCCCAAGGATCTGGCACCAAAGGCTGAATGTAATAAGCATTTAACTAACATTAACAAAATTGTTATTAATAATTAATAATAACAATTGGAACAAACTAGCAGATATTTGTTGACTGAAATTTGCTTTTCATAACCCTCCTTACCTTAGCTGCTGCATCCTCATCCCCTAGTGGCAGGCAGCATCTTTGAACACAGCTGAATTCCTTTGTTTGGGGGTTTAGGCCATGGACCTGATGGTTTGCACAAATGGCATCAATGCTTTTCCTCCCCTCTTGCCTCCCTCCCCTCCCTCCCCTTTCTCTTTACTTTGTTTGGCCATTGCACATGACCATCAGAGGCTATTGAATTTGTCATTTCCAATCCAGTGGCCAGTGACAGGAATTCCACTTGATCTTTCGAGTGTGTGGATTGATTAATGAGGCCTGGGTTCCAGGAATATACCCATTATCTCCATGGCTTCAATCTGACTCTATTTATGTGTGGTTCAGAAATCCTGAATTCATGTGAGAAAGCCCCCTCCTGGTTACACAGAGGTGATTTCAAAAGATGCTCGACATTTTTTAAGACTTGTGGTATGGGTGAGCAATAAAGGTCACTGAGAGAGGATAATTGCTCATCTTTTGAAGCCCTGTGAAATTTAACAACTGTATGCATGCATGTGTGCGTGTGTGTGTGTGTGTGTGTGTGTGTGTGTGTGTGTACAGCAAAGTGTTTTATTGGGGTAGTTTTAAACAGGGCACCAATGTTTTCTCAACAAGTGCTTAAAAAGGCCTTGAGGAGGGCCAAGCCTGCCCTACTCTGGACAGTCTGTTCTGTTTTTAATGACCTCTAAGGATGACCTCAAGTCTATGAGCTCTATAAAGCAGCTCTGTGATTGTTGAACTTCTGTCTTGGAATCCTTAGGACCGTGCACAGTAGGCAGAAATGAACCGTGGATCAAAAATGGACTAAGAGACCATTAGGGCTGAGGAGGACTTTAGAAATTGCTCAGTCTTGTCCCCTCATTTGATAGCTGCAGAACTGAGGCCTGAACAGGGACAGGGTCTTGATTACAGTCACACACCTACCAAGAAGCAGAGCCCCGGACACCAGCCTGAGCCTTCTAACTTCCCCTTTGTTTTTGCCCCTGCATCATGCAAGGCCCATGCCAAATGTAAAAGCTTTAAAATGTTTAGTACCAGGTTGAAACTGTCCTTGGAGAAGAGTGCTTGGTTCACGGACCAAGGAAGATGAGGCAGGGTGCAGTTTTTCTGAGGAGCAGTGATTGGGAAATGTGGATTTGGAAAATTTTCTTTTTGTCAAAAAACTTCAAACTCTTCCTTCTTCTTCTATTGAAAAGGCATTAAGGAATTTGGGCTCATTCATTTTATGGGTTCAGTGGAGTGATGAGAGAAAGTTCAGGGTAGTGGAAAGCCTGCTGGTGTGGAAGTCAAGAGAGACCTAGGTTTGAATTCTGTCTTCAGCATTTACTAGCATAGGCAAGTCACCTATCTCTCTCGGGTGTCAGTTTCCTCATTTGTAAAATGGAATAGTAATGCTTATAGTGATTTGACACAAAAGGGTGGTTGTGTTCTTCAGGCTTTTTTAGGGTAATAATACTCCAGGTTATTGTCCACATCAAATGATACATGGTATGTCCAGTGCTTAGCAAACCTTTACTTAAGTGTTCTTAAGTTGTATCCTACCCTCCCTCTACTGCACACAAAATGTAAGCCCCCTGAGGGTAGAGACTGTTTAGTTGTTGTCTTTGTATTCCCAGAGCCTAATACAGTATACTTTATTCCCCTCTAACTAGCTGTGTGACCCTGGGCAAGTCATTTAACCCTGTGCTTCAGTTCCTCATCTGTAAAATGGTCTGCAAAATGACAAACCACTCTAGTATCTTTGCCTAGACAACCCCAGATGAGGCTGTAAAGAATCAGACATGACTGAAATGACTCAACAGTAACATATTCTACAGTCGGGGGACATCAGTCGACTTGTTTCTGAAACAGGACACCACGTTTCCCATCTGCATGTCTTTGAGTTGGCTGTCTGCCATGCCTGGGACGCTGTGCTCCCTCACCTTTGCATCTTGCTTTCCCACACTGGCCTAAGGGCTGTTCTTCCCTGATGATACCCCGTCTCCCACCCCTGCCTTTGTACCACCTGTCTCGCATGAATGGAATACTCCTTCTCACCTCTGCCTTTTGGTTTCTTTGGCTTCCTCTGAGATTTACTTCAGATCCTTCCTTGTGCAGGAGGCCTATCCTGTGGGCTCTTCCCATTTTGTCCCTACTAGTACCTTCCCTTCTGAGATTTCCTTCCATCTATGCTATATATCTGGACATACCAAGTATTTACATGTTATTTCCTGATTAGAAGGTGAAGACCTTAAGGCAAGAATGATTTTTGCCTTTGTATCCTTAGCACTTAGCACAGTGTTTGGCATGTAATAAATGCTTGTTGGCTTGACTTGACATAGCAGGTACTTAATAAGCATTTTTTTGGATTGGATTTCTTCTTCTATAAATCACAACTTTTTATAATTGTCTGTTTAATTCATTCTCCTGGGACAGATAGGTAGCACAGCAGATAAAGTGTCAAGCCTGGAATTAGAAAGACTCATCTTTCTGAGTTCAAATCTGGATTCAGATACTTATTAGCTATGTGACCCTGGTCAAGTTACTCAACCCTGTTTGCCTCAGTTTCCTCATCTGTAAAATAAGCTGGAGAAGGAAACAACGAACTACTTCAATATCTCTGCCAAGAAATCCCCAAATGAAGTCACAAAGAGTCAGATACCCCTAGGAAAAAAATGACTGAACAACAATTCATTGTCATTAATTGTATGAAGGGAGTCCAGTAAGATGAAGTTCATTAAATTCCTCAAATTAATATCAGCTACTTATTTCTACCTCTTCTTCTCCTACCGACGTTCTCCCAGATCTACTAACACTGAGCTATATTGACTGGGTTCCTTGACTTTTCCTGGCCATTCTGGTGAGCCCTCTGACAATAACGATGGTACACTCTTGACGTACTATCTCAACAATGGATTCGACCCTTGAAAGGTCTACATTCTAAGCAGACCGATCTATCTTCTGCTTGTGGTACCACTTATCCTGGTGGGATTGCCAATGTGCCTTCCTCTGTCAATCTGTAAAATGAGCAGTTGTGCTGATTCACTTCCCTGGGCAAGAGAATGGTTCTTATTTTCATAAAATTTTGTAGGAGGAAGAAACTTGAGAGGTCATCTTGTTCAATCCCTATCCGAAGCATGGATTTCCTTCACAACTTACTTCCTTCAACCCTGTGTCCCATAATTATTGCTTGAACACCTGCAGTGAGAGGGAACTCATTACTTCACGAGGAAGCCAATTTAATTTTTTGGACAGCTCTATGTTTTCCCTCCTTTGCACTTGTTTGTCCCCTTTTAATTTTCCATTAGTCCTGGTCCTTCCCTCTGGAGCTAAGTAGAATGAATCTACTGATGGGTGTGATCCTCTACTCTTTCTGCTTAAACCCTAAATACCATTAAGAGAGGGCTTCCCATTGGGTTTGATTCTATCAAGGCTGTTCTGGAGCCTCACCTGCATGGGAACAATCCCAGGGATGCGGTCCTTGGAGTCCTCTGGGATATGGGCGGTCTTCAGGTGTCTATCTCCAGAAAGAGTCTGCAGATCTGCCCCCAACATGTCAGCCAGTTCCCCTTCTGAGATGACTTGCCCATACTGGGTCTGGAGTCTTGCCAGCTTTGCTGCCACTCTGGACCCCACCTCTGGGGAGGCATAATTATCAGCAACAAGCTTTCCAGCTGTCTGTAGAATGGTGGGCACCTTGGCACGAAGGGCAACAATGCCCTGGGTGGTGATGAGGGCCTCACTTGCCAGCACGCTGACATCAGGCTCAACCCCAGCCATATCCCAGGCTTTGCCAGTGACTGGGCTGATGGCCACTTGGGTGGGCATGGAAGCATAAAGGGGGCTGTTACCCACCTGGTAAATGCCCACTGAAAGGGCCCCTCCTGCTGTGGGCTCACCGATGACTGTGGCCCGATGCAAGTCCTTCATGGTGTGAGCAAAGGCCTCAGCTGCAGAACCACTGGTGTGGCTGATCAAGATGTACAGGTCTTTCTGGGAACCGTAACGCTCTCCAGCCACCTGAGGCAGAGTCCAAACCTCTGTGACCTGGGAGGTTGCCCGATCAAAGATGGTATACAGGTGCTTACGGGGCTTAGCTTCGAAGAAGTAGGAGCAGAGGAGGGGCACAGTGGTGGAGTAGCTCCCAGGGTTGTACCTCAGGTCCACCACCAATGCTTCTGTGTTCACCAACTTCTCCCATACCAGCTCTACCAGCTGTGACCCGATGGCTCGCACTGTCTCTGCCTCCGCCATCATGTCAAAGCGGAGGTAGCCCAGCTGCCCAGGTAGCACCTCTGTCTTGAAGAGGGCCTCGATGAGGTAAGTCAGCTCCTCAGGGGAAGGGACCCCTTTGTGGGGTGGGGACAATTCCTCAGGGACTGGCTCCCCTGGACCGTGGAATACATGTAGACGGTGGTCCCCAGACACCTCTTGCAGGTCACTGGTGAGTTGGGATGCTAATGACTCAAAGTCTACAGCTGTGCGGTAGGTCCCATGGACTAGCTTGGCTCTTAACAAGGCGCTGGCCTGCCCAACTACTTCTGGGAGAGCATAATGGTCCTCCAGGAGGTGTCCTGTGCCTTCCACCAATGCCCCTAGCCTCTGGTGAAATTCTATTACCTCCTTGGCTTTGTCCAGAGCTTCCTCAGCCAAGACTATGGCATCGGGTACAACTCCTCCTCCAAGCCAGCACTCCCCGTGGTTATCAATGAAAGTGAGAATGGGCACAGTGAGAACCAGGCTCCCATCGGGAGGCTGCAGCAGAGAAAAGGTACGGGTGTGCATGAGACTGCCTGCGGTGATTTCTCCAATCAGCGTGGCCCGGCCCAGGGACTGCATGAGGAAAGCAAACTCTTCTGCCGCTGTGGCGGTATGGTGGCTAGTGAGCAGGTAGACCCCTCGCTGAGCTCCGTAGGGTTTGCCTAGCAGCTGTGCCCGGCTGCGGTACTCCTGTGTTTGGTTGGTCTGGCGATCGTAGGTGGCAAAGAGGCGAACAGGGCCTGCTGCCGGGTCCTGGAAATAGGACAGGAGCAATGGCACTGCTGAGGAAGGCCCTCCGGGGTTGTAGCGGAGATCCATGATGAGATGATCCGTGTCCTGAAGGGGCTCCCAGACCTGTCGTAGCACATAGGGAGCCAGTGCGCCAAGGACCGAGGAGTCTGCAAACTCGTCAAACCGCAGATAGCCCACGTTACCTGGCAACACTGACACCTGGAACACAGAGTTTACCAGGGCCTGCCTTTGGGATTCACCCTCAGGCAATGACACGGATGCAGTGGAAGCAGCTTCCTCTCTAGGTTCGGCCCCAGCCGCGGCTTCCTCAGGCCTCAGAACCCGTACGAGGAGCCTGGGGTCCTCGGACACAGCCTGTAGTCCTGCATTGAGTTTGGCAGCCAAATCCTCCTCTGTGAGCACTGAGGAATAGTCGATGGCAGTAAGGTGATGGAGCAGGGCAGGTACTCTGTCGACCAGGGTGTAGTAATTCTGCAAGACTTCCATGAGACGCTGAATGGCTCCTGGTCTCGCCCTGCGGAGGGTGAGGATGGCCAGGGCTTTCTCTAGGGCCTTTTCTGCTGGAATCCCCACACAGGGTAGCACCCCACTGCCCTCCCACGTCTGGCTCCCCCCACTGAGGGGGCTCAGAGAACGGGACACGGGCACAGTGATGAAAAAGTCTGACTGACCAATACGAAGCTTCCGGAGATCTAGGGCCCCTCCCAGAGTCTGCTCTCCCACCACAATGGCCCGGCGCATCTTCTTGAGGATGTAGGCAATATCCTCTGCTACCCCGACCGTGTGATGGCTGGTGAGGACCACCACGTCCTTCTCCCCACCGTACCTCTCACCCAGCACCTGGGGCAGGGTCCAGATCTCTGTGGTGGTGTTTGATGGCCGGTCATAAACTGTGTCTACATGCAGCAGATTATCCCCCTGGTGTAGGTAGGAAATGACAAACGGGATTCCTGAAACTTCGCCTCCCGTGTTGTGCTGGAGATCCAACACCAGAGAAGAGGTCCCCATGAGCTTCTTCCAGACATCATTCACCAGGAACTCCCCGACTTTCTCTACCACCTCCTGGCCAGGGATGTAGTCCACTCTCAGGTAACCCACATTACCCTCCAGTACCTGGTACTTGATCATTTGCTGGAGCAAGGTGAGTAGTTCCTCCTGAGTGAGGCCGGTGAATTTGGGGCCTTGCTGGGGAGCCTCGGGGGTGCTGGGCTCATAAGAGATCACCAGCCGTGGGTCATTGAGAGAGCCCTGAACACCTGCCGTCAGGACGCTGGCCAGCATTTGGGGATCGGAGATATCCAAGATCTCTCCACTCTTGATTGCTTGTTTAATTGCTTCTTGCATCCCCATTAGGTTTTCTGGGAAGCAGTACTTATCCAATAAGATCTTGGCCATATCCAGAACCAGACCAGGTTGGAAGATTTGTTCTGCATGGGCCAGACTAAAGAGGAGGGCTGAGAACAACAGGAGACACTGGCTAGTCATTGGGAGTCAGAAGAAGGAACACACTTGGGAAAGAATCTCTCTTCTCTTTTAGTCCACAAAGCAGCCTCTTCTGTGCTGTGTGTCCCTCTTTGTCAATGACTAGAGACAGAAAGCCTTATGCTAAATATGGGAGCAGGGAATAAAGCAAAGGCTTTTTATCTCCATTAAACCTTTAATCTCATTAAATTGAAGTGCATCAGCCAAAGGGTGATAATGGTAGCCAGTCCTGCTGTTTATAGCCCCATTAATGAATGTGGGTAAAGAACGTGGTTTACTGGGACAGGTTCATTGTACCCCCATCTTTGTGCTGCTACTGAATATGCCCCAGTCTTCTCCCCTTTGGATCTTACTGATGTAATAATTGGTCCCAGTGTTGTTTAACACCAAGTAATTCAACTGTAAAGCTATTTGCTGGGAACTCACTTACCCTCTGGCAACTTCACTGCAATCACACTCTCATCTCCTGAGCATAAATTGGAGCCAAATTCGTGCTGCCCTGATTGCCTGGATAATTGCTAGTAATGATTTGTATTTTTGCAGCCCATTGCCTGGAAGGGCAATTTTCCAATGCTTTAGCATTTGACTATTTGCAGTCTCTAGACAACACACATTGATGAGAAAGCCATCACAAAAAACTACCACCCACGACAGGCTGGAGGAGCCCTGCAGGACGGCTGCATTCACTCTCAGCCCAGTGCAGCAAAAACTGAAGGCACTTTAATCTTCATAATTCTTAGCTCATTAGGATTTGCTTTTAATGACCCCTAGTGACATATGGTGATGTCTCCCCACTGTTTTCAACCAATGGAAACGCAGCTCCAACTACAATAGAACCGAGGTTTGCTTTTGAAGGGCAGATGAATTCAGGAGATTTTGGTCTTGCATATTTGGAAGGGGCTTTTATGTATTTGTTATGGAAGCCTAGAATATAGCATCTCAGAGGTGGGAGAGATCTCAGAGACCATCTAGTCCAATGCCTACTTGATCTGGAATTCAATGTAAAAATGATTGTCTAGTCTCTATCTGGACACTTCCAAGGATGGAGAGCTTACCACCTCCCAAGACCTTTGGACAACTTAGATTTTCCTTATAGAGGGCTAAAATCTTACCCTCTGTGACTACCATCCAGTGATTCCAGTTCTATCCTTTGAGGTCGTACAAAATGAGTATGAACACTGTCCTATGTAATAGTATTTTAAATATTTAAAGACAACTATCAGGACTACCTGCCTCTCTCCATCCCAAATTTCTGCTTCAGGGTAAACATTTGATCTTTTCCACCAAGCCATATATGACATTTTTTAAAAAAGCGTCTTTACCTTCTTGGCTTTCCTTTGGCTATAGACAATACAGTTTATGATTACTGATATGTGATAGGACACCCCTATGTTATGTTAATTTTTTTCTGAAGGTTGACAAAACTATGCCTCTTGATGCAGCTTCTTGGGCAATAATCAACAAGCATTTATTCCCTATTCTGTTCAGTCATTTTGCAGTCATGTTTGACTCTTTGTGACCCCATTTGGGGTTTTCTTGGCAAAGATACTGGAGCGGTTTGCCATTTCCTTTCCCAGCTCATTTTACAAATGAGTAAACAGAGGCAAACAGGGTTATGTGACTTGCTCAGGGTCACACAACTAGTAATTATCTGAAGCTGGATTTGAACTCATGAAGATGTCTTCCTGACTCCAGGTCTGGTGCTCTATCCAATGAACTGTTGATGTTAAGGAGCTCACAATTTGAGAAGGGAGATAAGAGAGATGCACAAATAACTATAATCCAAAATAGAAGATACCTGCGTCAGAGAGGGTGGTCTTAACACTCACAAGGTGTGTGTTGAAAGGATAGAGAGTGTTCTTCCAGCTAGAATAAAATGAAGAGGCACCAGATAGAGTACTGGGGGTTAGTTTTGTTAGTTAAGTAGGACCTTCCTGCCTATGGGCCTCCAGGGTCTTCTGGTAGCAACTTACCTTGTTTATGAATCTAGTGAGGTTGGAGAAGGGTCAGAAACTGTTTTCTGTAGAAACTCGGAAAAAATGACAATTAGGTAGGTACCAGACTACCTGAGAGGGCTGGAGTTCCAGAGACTCTGAATCCCAACTGAGTCCTGAGATCCCTGGTAGAGGGTATATTGGCAAAAATAGGTATATATAGTACTCTATAACTAACAAGTGTTTAGAGGAAGCATTACACCATTTCCAACAGTCCTCAGAGAATTACCAGATACATTCAAAGCATTTAGTTTCAGTACAAATTAGGTGTGAAACTAGGCTAAGTCTAGCTTTGCTAACCTGTCAGAAGCAGGTTAGTGTGCTGTATTCAGAAGCAAGAAGACACATATTCAAATTCTGCTTCTGACACTGACTAGTCATGTGACCACAGGCAACTGACTTAACTTCTCTTAGTGCCAATTTCCACAGCTAAAAAATGGGGTTAGTAGTACCTGCCTCACAGGGTCACTATAAGGCTTAAAAGAAAAAAAAATGCTTTTTAAATTTTAAAACATGATATAATTGTTAGTTATTGTAATAAACACACTGAATCAATAGCTTCCAGGAGCATAGGTAAAAAAAAATGCTTCAAGTAACTAATGATAAGAGCAATGAAAATTAAAAAAAAATCCTGGAGGTTTTGTCTCACATCCATATGTTTGCAAAGACGAAAAAAGACGGAAATAGTCAATATTGGAAGGATTGCAGACTGAACTGAACTTACATGCACAGACACACTAATACATTGTTAATGGAGCTATGAATCAGTACAGGTATTCTAGAAATCAATTTGGAATTATGCATATAAAGGAGCTAAAATGTCCATATTCTTTGACTCAGAGATTCCAGTGCTAGGAGTACGCTCCAAGAAAGCAACTGATAAAAAGAAAAACTCCATATAGACTGACATATTTGTAGCTTTATCTTTTGTGGTAGCAAAGAACTAGAAACAAATGAAATAACCAATCACATGGGGAATGGTTAAACAACTTCTGGTAGATGCATGTAATAGAATATTGCTGTGCTGTAACAAATGATGAATATGACAAATACAGAGGAACATGGAAAGATTTAAATGAACTGATGCAAAGTGACATAACTACAGTTGAGGAAACAATATATACCATGGCTATAACAATGTAAGTAAAATGAACAACAAAACAATCAAAATTATTATTGCAAAATTGCAAAGAATGAGATTGACCCTATAGAAAGCATGTGAAAAGACTTAGTTGTCTAACTCCTTTGCAGAGATATGTGTGTGGGTGGGTGTCCTCAGATATGAAACACTATGTACAATGTCAGATTTTTTTTTCCAGTTTATTTACTGGTTTTGCTGATTTTTTTCTTTTTTCTTAAAAAAAGGCCTTTCCTATAGAAAGACCACTTTCTGGAAGGGGATAGGGAGGGAGATATGAGGGAAATTCAGTGGATATATAATCAAAATATATCAATATAGTTTAAATTTTAAAAAGAAAATTATTTATATAGGATTATAAAAATGGAAGAAATATTCAAGGTTGTTGAATATGATATTTACATTTTACAGATGCAGAAACTGAGATGCAGAGAAGTGTAATGACTTGGTCAAACATGTTGTTGAGTTGTTTCAAGTGTGTTTGCCTCTTCATGACCCCATTTGGGGTTTTCTTGGCAAATATACTAGAGCGCTTTGCCGTTTCCTTCTCTAGCTCATTTTATAAATGAGGAAACTGAGGCAGACAGGGTTAAATGACTTGCCCAAGGTCACACAGCTAGTTAGTGTCTGAGGCCAAATTTGAACTCATGGACATTAGTCTTCCTCACTCCAGGCCCAGAACTCTATCCACTAGATCACCTAGCTGCCCCTTGATCAAACATACAGAAGTAGTAATTTGCAGAGCTCAGGTTTGGAGCTAGGTTCTCTCACTCCGAATCTAGCATTCTTTCTACTGTCCTCTCATGCAGTAGGAATTTTTGTCTTTGCCACCACAAAAAGAGCTGCTATAAATATTTTTGTCCATACAGGTCTTTTCTCTTTTTCTTTTAACTCTTTGGGATACAGACCTAGTAATGATATTGCTGGGTCAAAGAGTATGCCCACATTCATAGACCTTTGAGCATGGAACTCAGCATATCTTGAATGAATGTGAGCAATTAAGAGTTACCAGCTGTGTTTTCACAACATTCAAATATCTGCAAAGTGGAGGCTTTAAATCCTCTGAATGTTTTGCCTATACCATTCTTTCAAAATCCAGATGATTGAATTTTCTGTGGTTCTCCAGATCGAACAACCCTGGTATTTATACTAAACTTAAAGGTAATGGGGGTTATGCTTCTCCATTCCCCTCCATCCTGCTCTTTCCTGGTTCTCCAGCAGTGAAATGGCTTTTCTCCTTTCAGCAGGGACAAGGTAAATCACACTGAAAGGTACTTGTCTGTTTTTTTTTTTTTAAGTGAGGCAATTGGGGTTAAGTGACTTGCCCAGAGTCACACAGCTAGGAAGTATTATGTGTCTGAGGCCGGATTTGAACTCAGGCCCTCCTGAATCCAGGGCCGGTGCTCTATCCACTGGTACTTGTCAGTAATGTATGTACTAAGTACATACTAATGTATGTACTACGTGCTGGGAGCTATCAAAGATTCAGAGAAATTAATGGACTGGTTTCTGCCTTTGAAGAACTTACAGTATTGTAGGCCTGGTTCTAGTACCCAGAAATCAAAGGTTAGGCTATTTTAAAAGGAACTGCTCAGATTTACACTGACATTAGAGACAGTATGTCTTTAACTCTTCATTCTCATCTGCAGGGCAAAAGAGGAGGGAACTGTTCCCAAAGAGTGACATTGCCACACAGGTATAGTATAAATGGGAGGAGAACAGGTTTCATTGGGGAATAGCATTGGTGGGTGCCCTCCACTACACCCCCAACTGTCTCCAGCTCCGTGAGCAGGCTGCAGGCTAGGACATAGAGCAAGATGCACACTTGGATCCAAGTCTGCAAAGGCACTCTGGGCTCAAATTTTATAAAT